GCAGCACTGGGAAGTGTTCTTTCTCTTAACACTGCAAGCAAATTTAGTGTGGAAAGATTTCAGACATCCAGAGAGGTGACCACTCACTCAACCCCAGGAAACTGCCTGTCATTTATGATGAGCTGCTCTCCTCCCTCTTCTTGCTTATTTGCCTGGTAGATAAAAGATTGTCACCAGAGGAAATCAAACCAATTTTCTTTGCTTTTATGACACATTAAAATGAACCCTTTTGCAGCAAAAATAAGCATTAAAATATATGTGTTACTTTCAAATTTTATATGGTATCTTATCAAAATGCTTTTGAGGTTGTATCCCACTTCCTTGGCAGAGGTCCTTAGCTGTCAATCCATCATGACATATCATTAGAGATTTCAGAAGGGCCTGTGTCACCTAATATTCTTTTCTGAAAAGTTATGGATGTTTCTCCTAAAGTGGATGTGAGAGTCATGAAGATGTTTGGAAGGATGTGCAAGAGTTTGGATGTTAGGTTGGGCAATGGGCATTTCTCTAATCCACAGTATATGGGTACACCTGTTGTAAAAGTATCCTTTCAAGGTTGAATATTTTCCAGTGTGATTTAACTTTAGACATAATTGTAGGTAATTTAGTATTATAGAACAAATATAATTTTGTTGCTGATTTATATATTTGGAATTTTTCCTTCTTGTGCTACTAAGTAGATTAATCAAAGAAGGAATTTTATTTGCTAATAGCATAAATAAAAGGTTTTGCTTTTTTCCTATATAGAAAACATTTTAATCAGATGAACTTACAAGTTATGTACTTTTTTTCATGTCTTACATTGGGTCCTCTTTGTACTCTGTTTCTACTTCTGGAATAGGTCTTTGGACCACTGACAGTTTCCTTCTTTCTTCTTTATATTTTCTCCTTCATTCTACTGTGGGCTTTTCTGCCTTTGCTTGCCCTTACTTTGTCCTTGGCAAGCCCTCCCCTCAACAGAAGGTATCCTGATGTCAAGATGTAGATCCATGTTCTGAGGTCTGTAAGCTTGTGAAGAGGGATGAAGAGAACCATAACCACACACACCTGTGCCCCTGGCATCCAAAAGAAATGCTGGGCTGGTGATGGCTATGTCAGCCTGATGCCAAAATAGCATCCTAGCATCCTAGTACAGCCAATTCAATCAAAGACAAGCAATTCAGTGTAAATTTAGTCCATGTGGTACCTTGGCATTTTGTAGACCAAACAAGCTGGTTGAATGATAGCACTGACCAATTTTCAGCCAGTAACTTTTGGTGTTTCATAAAGCAGCGATTGCTGGAGGGCATGAACCTTCAGTTAATATGTACAATGACAGATCAGATACCAGAAGAAAAAAGAACTTCTATTTACATCTGGAAAATAAGGATATCTACTTGACTAATATTAAATTCTATGGATAATTGCATATGTGATTTTTGAGATGTAAATAATGGGATGAAATTTTAGGGAATTCATAGTCAAAACAATCTGGTGACTATTTTAGCTCATTAATTCTCAAGTCTGTGTATTCAGAGCTCCCTAGGAACAACAGAACTATGTTAAGAGTCATCTTATTAATACATGTGGATGGACCTGCTTTCTAATGTAGTGATCTACTGAAAGTTTACAATGGTTCATTTAAAATTCACTGTGAAAATATCTTCCTTGGTCATTGGTGGCTGGCACCTATAATTCTAGCTACTCAGGAGTCTTGAAATTTGAGTATAGTTGTTTAAAGTCAGTCTGGGCAGAAAGGTCTCTGAGACTCTGACTCTTATCTCCAATTAACCACCAAAAAGCCAGAAGTGGAGCTGTGGCTCAAGTGGTAGAGCACAAGCTTTGAGCAGAAAAAGCTCAGGCCCTGAGTTCAAATTCCAGGTCTCAGGACTGGCACGCACATACACACACACACACTACACCTTATATTAGAAAATTATTGTGAATCCATTGAAGAAGACACAGTTACACACAGGATACCTCTTAATAAGGGAAATGGAGAATTAAGTCCCAACACTCTGTTAGTCTGGTTGATAAATTAGTCAGAATTATGTTACTGTAGCAAATATTCAAGAAATCAGTTTGTGAAGAGAAGTTAAGGCTATTCCTCAGTTTTGGAGCTTTCAGTGTGTTCTACTGCTTTTGAGTCTATGGTGTGGCAGACATAACAGTAGTTTATGGCAACATTATTCTTTTGTAGCTGGGATGAGAAAGGAGGAGATGCTTCTGGTCCCAATACTAAAATATCCTAGGTTAAGGAAGAACCATTTAATGTATGAGACTTTGAGAGACGTTAAAACCCAAAGCTATAGCAACTGAACACATTATTAAATTTATTAGAACAGGTTTGCATCCTTTATAAATTAAACCTTCAAAAAAACCCCAATAACCCAATTAATGAATGGGCTAATGATTTAAGAGAGAATTTTCAAAACAACATTGAGATTCCTCCTCCTCCCCCCCCCATTAGAATGGCCATCATCAACAAAACAAACAAAAATAGATGTTGGTGAGGATATGACCAAAAGAGAACCCCATTACATTGTTTGGGGAATATGTACTTGTTCAACCACTGTGAAAAGCAGTGTGAGGGCTCCTCAAAAAACTAAACATAGAAATATCCTATCCTATGATCCAGCAATTCTACTGCTGGACATTTAACCCAAAAGATTACAAACCAAGATACAGTAAAGCCACCAAACATACAACCATATTTATTATAACACTGTTCACGATAGTCAAGATACAGAATCATCTCAGACACCCCTCCCTGCTTAATGGGACAAATGGATCAAGAAAAATGTGGTATGTATACACAATGTAATTTCACTTCTCCATTTTAAAAAGATGATATTGGACCATTTGTAAAGAAATTTAAAAACCTGGACAAGACTATGTTAAACGTAGTAAGTCAAGCTCAGACTTACAAGCCCTTATATGTAGAAGCTTGATTTAGCTTACAAATTTATCAGTAAATACATTGGGTGGTATATATTAAAAATCTTAATTGAAATATGGTAGAATGAAAGGAGATCTCATATAGTGTAATTCCTTAGAAAAGCACAATCAAAGTTCAGCAACGTAAAACACCAGAAAACAGATATTTGAAATGGATGGGGTAAAGGGATAGATAAATGAAGAGGAAAAGAGGCAGAGAATGCAGTCAAGAATACAATGTGTATCCTGCAAAATTAAGAAGCGTGAGGGAAGGGGTAGAGAGGAGAGGGCTGGGTGAGAGTGTTGAAAGAGGTGACATTGATCAAGATATATTGTATTTATAAACTGCTTTGTTAAATGGCAATTCCTTTGTACAACTACTTAAAGATAATAAAAAATTAAGCATAAAATTACTATATTACTATTGTACATTACAGATATGTATGTTTCTATGTCAACAACTTTGTATGTATATATTAATAAATTTATATATATAAGTAATTTTAATCCTGAATTTTGAATTCTCCTACCATGCTTTTAAGCACTATTGATATTATCCATCTTTACTATTATTATTCATAATTGTTAAGACTTTTTTCAGGAAATGCGAGCATTACTGGGTAGTACATTTGGTAGATATTTGCATGCATAAAACCATAATAAGGCAGAATTGAATTACTATGCTCAAACCAAGCTCCAAACAAAGCAAGCAAGCATACTGACAAGAGTTCCGTTAAGTTAAAGGATTTGGCAAATCACTCTTCTGATCAAAAGTTAAAACAACTTGGAAAAGCAGCTAAGGCTTTCAGTGAAAGCTTCAGTGAATAGCAGCTATCAAAAAAATCTAAAAAGGGTTATGGTAGAGTAAATGGAGACCAGCTGTTCTCAACTCAGCAGAGCCCAGACATGAACAAAACTAAATAAAAACTGAAGTGTGTTATGACAGATCATTGACTCCAGGGAACATTTCTTGGCAATTAGCATGGTTGGCGTGGCTCCTTAGGAAGTCAGAACCTATTCCACCTATTTTATTTCACGTTTAAGGATCCTTGTGATGAAATATGGCAGATGGATAGCATGTTTTCCAGAGGTCAACCTTAATTCCCCTTTGCTCTGTCATATAACATACTCACAGATTCTTGAAATCAGGTTATGGACATGTTTGGGAGGAGGCATTCTGCCTCCTATACATTTTTTTTTAAAGCAATACTGGGATTTGAATTCAAGGTCTTGTCCTTGTTAGGCAAGGACTCTACCAGTAGAATCACACTACCTCTCCAAACTACCAGGAATTGCATAGGATCTAGCCATACCTCTTCTGAGTATCAGAAGAATCAGAGTTACTATATCCATGCTTCTTGCAGCACTGATCACAATAGCCAAACTGTGGGATCGTCCTAGATGATAAATAGAAAAAGAAAATAAAGTATACATAATACAATGGAATTTTCTCAGCCATTAGGAAGAGTTAGTGTTTGTTTTTGGTTTTTCCACCTCTGCTTATTTTCCATTGGACCATCTGCTGGGTCCTGGTATTTTCCCCTTGTTTGACTTGCCCCTAGTTTTGTATGTATCTCTGTAGTACTAGGGCCATGTCTTTCCTGCATCACCATGGAGACAGGCCACCCCAAATCATACAATAAGTAGGGCAATAGCTTGTTGCAAAATGTGTATTTTCAGGTCTTTTATTTATTTTTTTCTTCATAAAAGAGATTATCTGAGTTACAGGAGCTCTGTGGGGAATTTTAAGTCTGTAACTAGATTTCTGCTTCCTGGGTGTATACACAGAAGGCAAGGTTGTAGACGGCTCAGTACTAAAAACCAGGCTTCAGCTCTCCATAGCTGTGTGCCTTTCGACAAATCACAACCTCTGAGGACTCAAGTTTTCTGAAGGAGTTTATGTATGTAACGTCCCTGGGGAAAACAATACCATGTAAGTGTTTCGCATTTTTAGCCACCATTAGTAGTTTTGTTTTGTTTAGTTTTGTTTTTTGGTATGGATTGGGAAATGTGGTTTTCAAGGTTTATGCTTGCTGCCGATCCTGATTTCTTTTTTGTGTTTTCATTCTTTCCCATGGATTCAGGTTTCTCTGGGACTTCTACATGCCCTTGCTACACATATTCTGTGGCCACCAGAGCGCTGGCAGAAACTGGAATCTGTTCTTCCTCCAGAGCGGTTCCCAGTGGTTCAAAGTGAAGAGTAATGACTGCGCATTGCCACTCGAGTGCCGGCGCTGAGCCGGTGATAGGTGTACTATGGTGCAAGAAAGCTTTGCGTCATACTAAAGTGGTCTGTATTCTTAAAGAAGGTTTTCTTTATTAAACAGTATTAAGTGACCCATGGTGTTCTGTGTTATATTTCAGTGTCCTATTGATTATTGCCAAACTTGTGCAAACCCTTGGGAATATATAAAAACAGTATACCTCTATGTCAGAAGCGTGTGGAGGTTAAGTTGAGATTATTTGCTGTACATAGCCTGTTGATAGATTTTCATTTTGATGCTTACTGCTAATTTTGAAAATTATTATTCAATGGAACTGATTTTGTCATTTGCCATGAAGATAGAGCATGTGCACACACACACAAAACTATATTACACATATAATAATAAGAACTATATTGTAATTGACATGATCAATAGAGCAGTTGCTGCCAGCTAACAGAAAATATAAACTGTGATGATGAAATAGTGATTTGTTCGGGGCTTGTTTTGGATGTTGTATTATCATGTACCTAGGTCCCTATGAATGGAAACATTCTCCTGTATAGAAGTAAAGGATTACAGTGATGAATAACCAATCCTATTAATGCTTTCATACACTCAGACTTTTTTAGATTGGCCCTTTTTAATCCTAAACTTCTGGGAGATTATGCCTGTTCACAGCAATGAATAAACCCATTGTTTTCAATATTCAGTAACTGGTGAAAAGTTCTAAGTAAAGTAGGAAAATCACTCCAGATCAACTGACTTTGATTTTCCCCAAAATGATTTCTCCCTGCTCATGCTTGTAAAACTAAAAGCATCAGTTGCAAAAGGGAGTGTAATAGCATAATAGATACTGTAATTTGTACAAATAAGAAGGCAAATTCCCAGTATACAAGTTAATAGTGCTTATTAAGCCTTTTTTTTCTTTTTTCCTTGCATTGATTAGCAGTTTGTGCTGATAGAAATTTAAATCTCTGAATCAACTATCTCTGTTCATCTAGTTTCCATTTCTTCTGTTTCACCAGCAGACAAGATCCACATAATGACTAGCCATCTTGTAAATGTGCATACTTTATAGGCAGGAATGAAACAAGCAATATGTGTATGCATGTGTGTATGTATGCATATATGTATACATGTATATATATGCATATTAAAAATACACATTGCTACTAATAGTTTGAGAATCATGATAGCTCATTTAACCAACATCAGTGAGCACTTACATACTAAACATGGTCAGAATTTCTTTCTTTTTTTTAAAAAAATTTTGCTGGTTCTGGAGCTTGAACTCAGTGCGTGGATGCTGTTCTTGAGCTTTTTTTTTCTTTTTTCCTCCTCAACTAACACTCTACCACTTGAGCCACAGTTCCATTTCTGGCTTTTTTTTTGGTATTAATTGGGGATAAGAGTCTCACAGACCTTCCTGCCTGGGCTGGCTTTGAATCTCAATCCTCAGATCTCAGTCTCATGAGTAATTAAGATTACAGACATAAACCACTGGCGCTCAGCTGAATTATTAATGTTCAAAGCAGATCTATTTAAAATCTTTTAGTGGGTTTTCATTTCCCTTCTTAATTTTTCAGTTTCATATCCTCCCTTCCCCAGCTTGAATATCACACTCTGACCTTTCATGCAGTTTGCCAAGTACTGATATTTCACGTTTTGTAACTTTTCCTCCTTGAGACTACATCTGAGATACATAGTGCATATGCTTATTGGCCCTTCACATGGGAAACTGGAGGACGATGAAAGAGGGGCTGCGGCAGTACTGAGAGAGGGTAACATGAGGAGCAAATGGAGGGTAGCCAGAAGCAACTTCTGTTTAGCATTAGAATTCAATATTGCATTAGTTTAGTAAACTGGCTACCAGCCTCAGTTCCTTTATCGACCACCTGTTTCCTTCTCATTCAAACGGTTAATTCACCATTGTTAATTTTTAGAGAGAAGGTAAATGCTCTTCCTATTCCACCTTTTGTATTCTTTAGCCATCTAGCATTTTGCCAGCAGAGTTAACACCTAATACTTCCTGAACAACTTCAGTTACTTCCTGAGAAATGCAACCTAAGGCAGTTAATTATGTAGCCTCTGGTTTATAGTCATGACTGTATCAGCCACGCTGGATTCAGGTGTGTATTGTCTCTCTGCTAAACTGTGAGCGAGTTTTTGTCCAAGGCAGGGATACCTTGCTTAATTTGTTAATGTGACTGCCCAGAATCAGCAATAGAATTCTAACCTGTCCAAGTATGAGTCTGAGACACCATATTAAGGATGAAAAGTTCAAATGAGTAAAACAAAGAACCATGGTCTACTGGTGAGAGGGGAAGGAAATAATAAGCAAATAGGTGCCACACAAGTTGACAGCATGTGTGGAGCCTGGGAAGCAGCAAGAATGTGAAAAATGGTTCTGTATTAGGAAATCAGGGGTAGAGGGCAAACTGCATGGGAGAGGTGCTGTGTGCTGAGCCTTCTAGGCTGCATAGTTATCCTTCTGTACATTAGAAACCTAATTCATACAAAACTATTGCAATCAGTTAAATTGTTCCCCACATTACTACCTCTAAACAATCTTGTGGGATATAGGTGGGTTTTGTTTTACACATTTCATTTGCAGGGCATAGAATTGTGGTTCCCTGGGATGATTTACATCTTCAGGGCTTTTTGCCCCTTTTGCAAGGACAATTTCACCAAAGATTCTGTAAAATATGTGTTGAATATGAGAAAACAATGTGTATGTGTGGGACTGAAGCCTGAATGCCTTGCTAAGCAGGTATTCACCCTATGTCTCCAGTACTTTTTTACTTTTACATTAGTTATTTTTCAAATAGGGTTTTACATTCTCTCCCTCCCCCTCCCCCCCTGTATATATGTATGGGTGGGTGTGGATGTGGGTGGGTGTGCATGTGCACCAGTCCTGAGGCTTGAACTCAGGGCCCAGACACTCTTTTGCTCAAGGCTAGCACAGTACCACTTGAGTCACAGCTCTACCTCTGGCTTTTTGGTGGTTATTTCACAATGAAAGTCTCACAGACTTCCCTGCTTGGTCTGCCTTTGAATGGTGATCCTCAGATCACAGCTAGGTGTGAGCCAGGTGTGAGCCACTGGCACCCAACAGGTTTTGCAGTTTTGCTTGGGCAGGCCCAGACTGCAAGGATCCTGTTGATGCTTCCTATGATATTCACCACCACCCTAGCTGTATTGTTTGAGATGAGGTGTTCCAGGCTGTACTCTCACCAAAGGCCTTTCTTATCAATGCCTGGGATCACAAGAGTGAGCCACCATGCTAGATGCATGCTCACTTTTATATTGCATGTATAGATTCTAAATTGATATGGTCAGCAAAAAAGGAAACAAAGAAAAAATTTAAAATTTACTGTGATTATAAAACTTCACTGGCATTTTTTTTTTGGCAAGGAGAGGAGAGACTGGCCTTTGAAAACAGAACTTGTAAAATTCTTCAATCTTATGAATTATATCATATTTTAGTTCCTAAAGTTTACATTACATAATCTATCATCTCAAATGTTAATCTTTCCAAGGTTTCATCTCTAATCATGTTAATACAAAGTATAAAAATACTCCATGGGTGTGATTTAAGTGGTAGAGTACTTGCATAGCAATTACAAAGCTCTGCATTCATTCTCCAGTACTGCAGAAAACAAACAAACAAAAAACACCCCTTCATTTTCTCCTTACCTTCCTAGCCTACTTTTATCTATCTATGTCTATCTATATATGCATATTTGTATGTATGTGTGCATGTGTGATTCCATTCTTGAGATCATTCAGGTCTCTTTCTTATGGTAGGCAATACTACATTTCTTTCCCTCTCTGCTGCTTCATTTCCTTTGAAGCATGTTCATTGGCATGATCCTACATCTTTTTGTATTCTGTGCCAACCAGTGTGTACACTGTGTATAATTTGTGTTGTCCAAAGTTATGTCGCTGTATCACACCCTTATTTCTCACTGCTCCTGTCAGATTTTGTTGTCTGTTCTTTTTTATATTGCAGTTCTGTTCTACTCACTTCTTTGAACTTGTTTATTATTCTCTTATTTTTGGATCTTCTATTATTGCATCTTTTTATTCCATGTTTTTGATCTTTAAAATATTTTGCTGTGTGTTTCATAATTCATTTTGCAAGTTCTATACCTCTTTCTCAAATTTTTCTTGTCACTAACTTAGTCTTGTAATGTGAATGTGCATCTTCCTCATTTCCAACTTTAGTTTTTAAAATTTTCTTGCAGATTTCATTTACTTATTATTTCCTTTATAAAAAATGGATGTAACATACAATCTTGGCAAGCATAGAGAATGTTTGGTTTCTTCCCTTATTTTTCAAGTAGTAACTTTAACTTAGAGAAATCATTTCTTTCAAGCTCTTATGACATGACTTTTAAAAATAGATCTTGCATAAAATTTTCTGTTATCTCAAATTATCTTTGCATCACTAGACTTTTCTGTTTTTTTTCTGTGCTGCTCTTTGGAAGATAATAGAACACTGTTAACAAGGCTTAAGGTAGAAGTCTTACACTGAAGTGTACCATTTTAATGTGGACAGTGGTGTTTGCATGACATGTCAATACCTTTCTTGGAGATCTCTTCAATAATTTAGAATCTTACCATTAGTACATGTTAACTCATGTAGTAATAGTCATTACTTATATTAGTATACTATAATAGCATAACATAATAATAACAGTAAAACACATATGTTATCTCCCCTCACCACTGTCCTCCTACCCCGATTCCTTCTTACCCCAATTCATACTAAAAGAAAGTGAACAAAGTGAGGGGACAGAATTAAGAAGATGGAATAATTATAAAATAATTTTCTTATGGACCATCTTCACTTTTTATAATCTTTATCCCAATTCATTAGTTCTTTTTTAATAGTAAAGAGGAATGCATGAATTACTGGTATAGCATCAGGTACAGTAATCTATGAATTTTGATACTTTTCCTTTTCTATTGTTATTGTAAAGGGGCTGTGCAGAGGGGTTACATAAGTCATGTAATGAGTGTATTTCTTTTTCAACAGTGGCACCTCTTCCCTCACTTTCTCCCAGTGTTTTCCTGTTGTTCTCCACCCCCCAACTGTGTAGTTCATTTTCAATGTAGTGTCTAGTGAGTGTC